CGTTCAGAATCTGAGATATAAAACACATTTTCTAAAAACTGAATCGAGCAACATCTGACCTGTGCTGGCAAAATGAGTCACAACGAGGAAGTATTATTTTCAAACCCTCCATCTTTAAAGCTTCAATATTTGGTGATTTATTACCGGGCAACATGATAATTTTATAACTTCATCTTTATTGACCTAAAATGATATCAGGAATTCCAGCCCTGTATTTAAAAAAGGAACCCCAGAGCTTTACAATGACGCCAAACATTATATGAAAGGATTTCCCAACACTGCGTCACCTGGCAGAGAAAAATTGTAAATTTTAAGGGTTATAAGATGACATTTTCTGAAGACATACCTGTTAATAAACTAGACTTAAAAGGTAGGTTAGGAAGATTATGATATTTTAGGAGCCAGGCTCGCTAGATGGTGTCTTTATGGGTATAATTTTACAAAAATCTCAATCTAGACAAAAATAAAAAATAAAAATCAATATTTTCACGTTTTTTGTACTGAGCTCATTCCAACTCATTAAGCCACATACTGTTCAGCTAATGTAAAAAAGAAAACAAAATACAGTAGTCCCTCGTTTATTGTGGGGGATCTGTACCCTGAAGTCCCGCGGTAAGTGAAAAACCGCGAAGTAGGAATAAGTAGTACAAGTAGTAAGTAGTAGTTTAATTTATTATTTATAAATATATATTAAAGCCTTTTAAACCCTTCCCACACTCTTGCAATATTCTAAAAACAATGATTCTAAACTCTAAACGCTCTAAAAGAGAACACAGAATGTCATGATTTCAGCTCCCTGCCTCCGCTGCTCTCAGCCACCTGCAAGCGCTCTTGGCCACGCCCACTTCTCCGCTCTGCACAGAGAACAGCTGATCAGCTGCAGCAGGAAGTTTATCCTGCAGTGTGGGCTGCACAAATGTGCAGGAGGTGCTAAATAATGTAAAATAATTTATTTTCAATTAAACTTCCATGCCAATCGTGCGGCTCATCCATCAATCTGTGTCATGTCCAATCTTATTTTGAAAAACCGCGATAGAGCAAGTCAGCGATAAACGAGCCGCGAAGTAGCGAGGGACTACTGTATACAGTAATTAATTTCACACAATGTCTGTGCTTCTTTGAAAATGCAAGTGTTAGCAGCTAGCTTTAGCATCTCCGGGGCACTTCCAGCTGGAGTGATATTCCTGTCAGACCAACAAACTAATTCTGACATGATGTCAGCACTTTTTAAATAAGATGTGAGTAAACGGGCTTCATGGAGCTTGTATTAATCTTTCCAACTAGTTAAAGCTCTTTCACACTGCAAGTGATATTCATCCATTCACTGGTACCAACAAAGGCTGTAGTGTCTGCCCAAGGGCACTTAGACATGAGGAGCAGACATCTGGAATTAAACCTTCGAACTGGTGAACGTCTGCATTTCCCTCTGAGCCACAGCCGGCCCAGGAGTTGTTTCAGCACATCAGAAATCCATTTTGTTCTCAGCTTGGAAGTCTGATCAGAATTAAACCTTAAGCTATGTGCAACAGGTAAGATACTGTTTGTGCGTAACGTTTTCACAGAACTCCACTTTAAAGGAGCTGAGCTATAAACGTTAAAAACTTTACTTTAGTAACTGTTATGTGCCGGGAGCACATTGGCCTTATTGTTCTGTCCCTGGGACATGTCTTGTGTTTTGGGTTGGCTGATTAGCCTTTAGCTGTTTTGGGCTGTGGCCAGGCTGGTCCCACAGATGCACTGGTTTTGGACTCCTCTGGTTTGGACTGGTTTTGTTTCCTGCCCTGGTTTTATTCTGCAGCCTTTTGTTGTCAGCTTGATTTAGTCTTCATCCTGGAGCTGCGGGCGGCCGGCAGCATCGGCCTCCACAGGTCGTTTCTGTTCACTTTTTGGATGTTTTTTTGTAGTGATTTTGGCCTGGTGTGACCGGTGGTCCTGTTTCTTTTGCTTTACGTTTTTTTGTATTTGTTGTTGTTTGTTTTAATCAGCTGTCCGCAGCGGCTTCGACGGCCCTGTATAGGGTTGGCCCGCTGCGGCATCTTTTTGTTCTGTTTGATCGACTCACCAGGTCCACCTTTAAGTTAATACTTTGAGTTTTGGGGTCTTTTGGTGGACACGGGAACTGGGGGTTCCTGGTCTTTTTCCTTTTCAGGAAGCAGCAGCCACTTTCAATAAAGTGAATGTTGAACCCCCTTCTGTGTGTCTCATGTCCTCCGGTAAAATGCTGTGCCCTTGGTGGACAGTAACGTCATTTACCTTCATATTTCCCACACAGTGATGAGGATGTAAACTAAACTTTCTGTGTTTTTAAACTCAGATTCAAACTTTGTTTTGTTCTCAGATTAAATGAGTTCAGTAAAAGTGCATCAGGTGACTCGGAGGTTTTAGATGCTCACTTCTCTTTCATCCAGGTGGTCTCTGAATATATGCACGTTCTTGGCTTTCTGTTTTACAGAAGACAAGAAAATTAATGGTTTTAATCAAATCACTGTTTCAGTAAATTGTTACTTCTTTGGTAATAAAACTAATCAGGTCAAACATGAGTGTTGATTGGGAGCATTAGACAAAGTGTGAGACACTTTAAATCGTGCAGGCGTGGACAGCACCACCGTGGCTGCTGTTCGTGGCACCTTGTGATTCTTTCTAACGTGTCATTTGACCGGTTCTGACAGCAGGGTGGCGTTCTGAACAAGTGGCCTGCACCAACCAGGAAGAACCAAGAAGAATACGGTCATCCATTGGGGTTACAGGACATTTCTAGTCAGCGCTGTTGTCAGAATACACTGCTGATCTGTGGAGAGCTAACCTCTGCATGTTATTTCTCATCACACCCTGTTGCCATGGTTACGCCTCCTCTGAGCCACTGAATACAGCTGTTAAGATGGGTGATTTCAGTTTTATGGTTACCACATGGCTTTTCTCAGAATGTTTTTTTTTTTGTACCATAATTTGAAAACTATTCTGCAGCATGTTAATTCAATTCCGTTTATATATACTGTATATACTGTAGCACCAATTCACAACAAAGTTGTCTCAGGGCACTGAACTACAAACTATAAACATTCACACACAAAAGCCAATTAGTAAAGTTCTCTATCTAAGGAATCCAGCAGACTCGTTTAATCTTCAGTTCGTCAGTCTCCCATCCTGAGCAAGCACAGTGGCAACAGTGGAAAGAAAAACTCCCTTTTTAACAGGAAGAACCCTCCAGCAGAACCAGGCTCAGGACAAGCGGCCATCTGCTTTGACCGGCTGGTTTGAGAGGACAGGAAGGAGAGACAGACGAACACAGAATGGTAGGTCCAGGAATAGGTCCAGGTCCAGATGTTGGTCCAGGTCCAGATGTTGGTCCAGGTGTACCTGAAAGACAAAAAAACACATGTTAAGGATAGAAAAAATAATTACAAATACAAAACAATTTGAGCAGAGTAAGTAAAGACATTAGCAGAGTGAACGTGTGGTCAGTTTGTCTTCCAGTAGTCTAAACCTATAGTAGCATAACTAAAGAACAGCTCAGGAAACCCAAGCCGACCCTAACTATAGGATTTATCAAAAAAGGAAAGTCTTAATCCCAGTCTTAAAACTGGACAATGTGTCAGCCTCACGGACAGAAACTGGAAGTTGGTTTCACAAGAGAGGAGCCTGATAACTGGAAGCTCTGCCTCCCATTCTGCTTTTAGAAACTCTAGGAACCACAAGTAAACCTGCAGCTTGAGAGCGAAGTGCTCGGTTTGGAAAATATGGAACAATAAGAGCTGTAATGTAAGATGGAGCTAGGTTGTTGAGAGCTTTGTAGGTTAGAAGTAAGATTTTGAATTCTGGATTTGACAGGGAGCCAATGGAGAGAAGCTAAAACTGGAGACATACAGTATGATCTCTCCCAGTAACTCCAGTTAAGACTCTGGCAGCAGCATTTTGGATCAAGACGTTTTAAAGAAGTATTTGGACACCCAGATAATAAACCATTGCAATAGTCCAGTCTAGACGTGACAATTTATTTATTTAGTTGACTATTTATTCAAGTTAAAAAATAATTCACTATGCACAAGATAAATTTGAATGCAATTTTAAAAACATACCTGTTTTATTTCAAGTTATATGTTTGCTTTAACGTCAAAACTAATACATGAGTATATGGAAATGTTAGTATATAGTAAAATATAAATAAATGGGTTTATGATTGTATAGAATCACCTAAGAATATACCAAAATGTTTTTATTTGTTTTACTTTTTGTAAAATGTAACATTATAACGCTATATTTGTGCGTATCTGTGTGTAGAAGTTTTCAGGTTTAAACCTCGAGCGTGTAATCTCGCGATATTTCCGTGTTCTCGTGAGATCTGGGCCGCAGCGCCCTCTAGTGTGCGGAGCGGCCACCGCAGGTTCGAGGGATGCACCGCGGCTAGCAGCGAGCACAGAGGAAATGTTCAAAAATCTGGTCTTCGCAGACACCCTGAAGGTCCAGAAAGCCGACTGAGGACGCCTTTTCTTCTGTTTTCCGCCACATTGACTTTGAGCACCACGGACTCGGGCTCATCCTGTGAAGTGGAAAGCGGCCTGTTTTTGTAGCCGGCTTCCCGGTGCAGCTCAGGCGGCCAGCCCCGCCAGCAGAGCTCGGTGCTTCAGCCGCCTTGTTTTCTTCGCGCCGCCAGAGCCAGCGGGAATTTAAATTATATTTTTCTTTTGGGTGTTTTTACAGCAACGAACCCTCTTCCGAGCGGCTCCCATCTTGTGGACCTGCAGCCGGGAGTTCTGGTTTTAAAGGCGCATTTCAAGCCGGGGCGGCCTGTTTGTTTTCCAGCCGAACAATAACAGAGCCTGCTGGGCTCCACTGAAACCGGAGCCGCTCCGCCCGGAGTGGAGCCTTAATGCGTTGTGTGCTGCCGGCTCTGGACCGAGCCGAACATGGCTGTGGGTTCTGGGTTCGTCCCTGTACACCGGACAACTTCGTCACCAAAGTCTTCGCTGTGTGAATCTGGAGCTGCTGCGGGGAAGCAGCGCTGAGAGGCGGCGGACGGAGGCTCCTCGCCGGCTTTGTCTCTTTATATTTCACGTGTTATGGAAACGAGCCGAGCTGATGTGGACGCGTCGACATTTGTGTGCACCCCCGAGCCTCCTGTGAGCGCCTGATCAGGCCGGGACCTGAGGATGGACTGACCGGGGATGCGGAGCCTGGGCTCGCAGATTATAATGTGGGATTTACCGACTCATCACTGAGCTTATTATTTTCATCGATGCTCTCTCCAAAGCCCCCGGACTCCCCCGACACGATATTTCACCTCCAGCTCAGTCTTTTGATGCATCTCTGTTTTTTGGGCTGATTTTAAAGAAAGTGACGCATCTTTTTGACGGAGCGGACCGTGCCGGGGGCCGGACAGCCAGCTGAGATGAACCCGGTGAATGCGACCGCTCTCTACGTGTCCGTGAGCCGCTCCGTGCTGCAGTGCGACCCCCGAGACCCCCGGGCCCTGGCGGAGCTCTGCAAGCTGCTGCCCTTCTTCCGGCAGTCCCTGTCCTGCCTGGTCTGCGGTAGGAACAACTACATTAATGTTCACCTTTGTACGTCTGCGTGTAGAGTCAGGGAGGACGCGAACTGGAGGCGAGCCTTTAAATGGTGACACGTTCAGGGACTGTCGGAGATACCTCAAGCGACCAACAGTGGCGCGAAGTAAACAAATATAATACGCACAAACAAGACCCACGTTTTCATTTAAGTCCGTAAATGAATCAGAGGTGATCCTTGTTTTATGCACTAAGTTCAATATAACGGTCTAGGTGGTTATAAACGCTCGAGCCAGGAGATGCCCAACACTAAAAACTGACAGGTTTGTCCATCTGTTATTTTTAGAAGAAAAAATATGAGTTAATATGTTTACGACACAAACCTTTAAATGCTGTTGTGTAAATAAAACTATTACTGTGAGGAAAACTCAAAAGTACCGACTTTAATGTGTACTGCAGCTTTACTTCATGTTTGAGCTCTGAAAATGATAAATTCCGAGGGTAAGTGAACGCATCCCCTCATACAGCTCCTCCCCTCGTGACACACCCCCAGTGTCTGTTGTTACACAGGATGGAGATGTTTATCTCAGGATG